GGTTCATCTATCTCTGGTGAACTAAACTGTATGAAATGTCTGCACTGCGGCATGTAAAGGTCAAGATCTTTAAAATACTTTTCTCCCAACCAAGATAACATGTCAAACAGGCAAAAAAACAAAGACTATATGGAACATAAGCAGGAATTATAACTTCCATTTTTTTCCCTTCAACTAAACTTTCTGCACGCTATTTAAATAAATAGGAGGAAAAAAAAAAAAAGACTGCGTATGACTCAATAACTGCTAGGATACTGACAGGGAACACTGCAGAAGTTTTTCATTTGAGATCTTATTAACAGACAGAAGCAATATATAGCTCAACAGTTAAACAAAAAATATTGGCAGCTGAATCTTAAAAGTCACTTTATTAATTCTTTAAATCTATTTATCTTGAAGGTGAATTAAAAAAGAAAGTTTAAGGCTATGAACACAGATCCTTAGCAGTTACCATTCTTTTCTAAATTTGCCTTCAATTACTGTAAATTTTCTGTGCAATTAATAGATTACAATCATTTTAGCACACAAATGCAATTAGTCATAATATAAGAGAAGAAAGAAACCAAGAGTATTGAAATGGCAGATTACTGAAATATTTCCTTTACTTAATGTGAAACAGAAACTGAAAAAAAAAACAAACCACTCCACTAAGGAATTTTTGGTATGCAATCTTTCTGTGGCACTTTATAGGTTATTAATTTCACAAAAAGAATGAATAAAATTATTCAGAAATTAAGCCTTATTTGTTTTCCCAAAAGTACTCTGCTTGAAAGCTTCCATTTTTCTGTTCCTTCAGTTTCCCTTCTGAAGTACTTAACCATGGGTAAGCTATCGCTCACAGTTAGAAACAGCTTTTCAGAATCAGAAATAGCACTGTACTCACATACAAATGCTCAATCTATGCTTCTCTAAATACCTAAGAATTACACACATAAAATGTTCCTCTTAACTGAAAAGGGCTGTAATTCATCATTAATGCTATCAATCGCAATTGATGAGCACACACAGCAGAGAATTTATTGATGGAATGAGATGTAATAATGGAGTAACAATGACATTGACTGATTCACTAAGACTCTGAATCTTACCCAGGGTATAAAGATAGCAGTGAAATCAACAGAATTTCTCATGGATTCTTCTGGATTACTAACTGAGACTTTCCTGGCACTCTTGTGAATTTCATACTTTACAGGAGCATTCAGGGCATGTCAGATTCCTAGTCCTTGTTAGAAAGCCAGAAAAACCAGTGGTCGTTGGCACAACAGCAGTTGTCATGCTCCTGTAGTAAAGAACTTAATAGACATCAGTCCTTCCCAGACAACCAAGCAAAAGTAGGGCAATGTCTGATGAAGTAAAGAGACATGTAGAGTTAGTAGCTGATAAATGGGAATGCTAGGGGCTTCAGCAGTCAGGATTTGTGCTTTGTCCAGAGATCCTGGCAGCCTTGAACTGCTCTTATACCACCACTGTAGCCGTAGCAAAACTAACGTGCATACTAACAGCTACCTACGTTTTTACCACAAGTTGTATTTACGTTGCTAACTACAACGTAAGAATTCTTTCATATATACACAAGACAATATTAATCACTTGCTGAAAAGAAAAAAGCAGATGGAAGATCTGCATTTGTTTACAGTTTTCTTAATTTTAATGTAATTAAGCATATTCTTTATCAAGGCATGCCATAAGATGTATTCATAGAGGAAAATAAATTAATAGAAAGAGCCTTTAGTTGAAATGCTGATTTCATGTCAGAAAGATGGCATGACATATCAGCTCTAATAAAGCCAGTTGCGTTCCTTAACACATACTGTTCCCTCCCCTGTCATTGTTACATCTGATTCACTGAATGGGCTACTTCAGAAATGGAAGCA